TTTTCCCTTGTATGATCTTGAATTTTGTTGTTCTCACAACACAATATATGGTTCTCATACAATTAAGGGTTTAGAGAGCACTAACCTGAATCCATTGTTCCTTGATGTTATCTCTCTCTTTGATGTGGTTGATTCCTTTGTATTTTCTCCAACTCTTTCTTCCTCTTATAGCTCTTTTTGGATGGTTGAAAGAAAGTTCTTTTCTTGCGTTTACCATGAGCTCACTTAGAGACCGTGAAAGTAAAAAATAGAGAATGTCGTAATCCCTATTTGGTTGGTAACCGTTCTTTAATTTATATGAAGGGAGAGGAGAGGGTTTTCTTATACTTGTATTTACAATTATACCCTCAATGACTCTATATTTTATATTTAACCACCATTACATTAAATCATTAATTAGAGTCATGCTATAAGTTACATTAGGCCACTATAAGAAGATTATTAAAATAATCTAACAATTATTACGGGATCATTACCTGTATTTATGCGAAAGCTATATATCCTAATTTGTTCGACTCGCGCTCACGAGCTCAACTTTTTGAATAGAAATCGAGTCAAGAAAGCCATGAGATACGAGTTAACATTACCCAGATGCCTAGTTAAACCGCAATGTGATTGCTTGATCTTATAAATCTACCAACACAATATGCAATAGACTATTAAGGATTTAAAGAAAGAAATGCTTTTTGGTTTAAGAGAGTTCAGGCAAACAACAAAAATTTCATGCAAGTTCGTTTGGTGATTTGTACCTATATGATGTATTTTTACTGGTTTGTTTAGAGCAAATACGCTAATACAGTCACTGTTTATTAATTCATAGTTGAAACAATCTATGCAGCTCGATATTGCACAAAACATTGCTTATGTTGCTCGAGACTTTACATCATTCTGTAGTTGGAAGACAACTCCACATAATATTGACCATTCATATCATTTGTGTCTACGTACCTAGATACGTTACATGAAAAGTGATTTCAATGTGATAAATATTATTTTTGCCTTTTTGACAAAAGAAAAATATTTTTTAAAACTACTTACTACAAGAATGTAAAAATAAAACAATTTACTTATTTGGATTTCTTTATTTTTACCACAATGTATATGGTATATATTGTCCATCTTAGGGGTGAGACTAGTTTTTTTTTAAAAATAATTAATTAAGTATCGCATACATAGGGAGTGCCACTCTCTTTTATAAAGTTGAACATTTTTAATAAAATATTTTTAAAAATTATATAATTTTTAAAATTTATAAATCTTTAAAGAAAAGTGTATTTAAAAAAATTTGTAAAAAATATCTTAATCATTTTATAAAATATACTTTAAAATGTTTTTATAATTTTCTGTTCTAATTATAATTTAATTTTTAAAAATAATTTTTAATTATAAAAAAATTATTAAAATTTAATATCAAATTTTAATATTATATTACATGAAATGCTTATATATATATTGAAAAGTAAAAATTTAAATAAAAATTATTTTTAAAAATTATACTAATGTTGATAAAATAATATTTTTTAAATATAATTTATATTTTATTCTATTATATTTTATTTATTTTATTGTTAAAAATAATTACATAATATTATTGATTCTTCTATTCTAATATACATAAACATAGGATAGGATAAAAGTTTATCGTTCTCTTAAGTATTTTATCTTTATTTATCTTTCTTTTCTATATTCTTTTATCTCATTATGTTCATCAAACATACTTTTTTTACTATTTAGTAATTTTTTATATAATGTAAAATTTTTAATTCAACTATTAAATTATTTTATATTATTTTTCTAATCATGCATACCAAATTTCATATAATTTAAACAATTATAAGTATATTATTCAAAATTTGATATTTACTTATATTTTAACATATTATTTATTGAAATAAAATAATGTAAAATATATCTAATAATTTTATTTTTTTATAGAATTTTATAAAGTTAACTTAAATAATAATAACAATCAAACCAATAATTGGATTAGTAAATCTAATATACTATAAAAAAATGTTATTAAATTGTGTAATTGTACAAATTTGACTCTTGTTATTAGGGGAAAGGAATTGGAAGAGGGAAATAACGTGATTTTTGCATGTGATAAAATTTAAACGTGAATCTTACAATATTTATTAAATCACCTTTTCATCTCTCTCTCTATATATATATATAAACTAAAGCCCCCTGTTGCAGTGATTCCTTGGTAATGTCCTCCTTGTGCCTCTTCCTTCTAGTCTCTACTCTCACGTTCTCATGACAGTGCTAAGTTCCCATAAAAGAACTGACTCTTGAGTCTTAACTGTCAAGTCTTCAGTTTGGACCTATCCTTGAAAACCAATACTGAACTAAAACATGTTAATGTTGATTTAGGATACGACAGCGTCCTCATCTACTGGAAATTGCGTAGCTTAATGGTTTTCTTTTCTTTCTTTCTTTTTCAAAAGTTGATTTATGAACTTGGAAAACTTGCCAACAATTGTGATCAAGGATAGTAATTATTTGCTGGATTACTTACTTACGATTTGTTCCCTTTTCTAGTATTCATGCCAATTCATTTGCTTCTCCACTCCTATATTATGAAACATGTATCCAATTAAGCCTTTCTAAATTTTCATCATCCTTATAATTGCATGCTATACACTATTATTTATTATTTCATTATCTTCATTTTTTCTACTCAGTGTGACTGTTAAAATATCATAAATTTCTAATGAAATCTGAAATATGGGGTGCAGTCACTGGAAAAAGTTTATGGAACTAGAAATTGGATTATTGTGTGACTCAATTATTGTTCTCATGAGTTGGGGGCGGCTCTATTATTATTATAGTTAAATAAAATATATTTTTACTATTTTTTAATTATAAATTAATTGAAGTGAGTATTTATAATTCTTACCATTTCATTCACTCCCTTAATAATGAAGAGGAACTTTATTCTTTTTCATCATGAATGAAGTATTTAGACAATAGTGGTAATTATTAAAAAAAAATCATTATTATAATAATTATTGTTATTGTTTGTCTTCAGCTAAACATTAGAATAAAATTTGCCTAGCCCTTGATTATTTTTTAAAATGTAATTATTATAATTGCAATTATTTCTCTTAAATTATTTATCTCCATTTTTTAGGAAAAATGAGAGGGAAGTAGAAGATTTATGTGATGGTTATATTTGTTTGAGTTGTTAAATGAGAGGGGAAGATTTATCGACTCTAGAAAACTTTTTAATTCTATGTTTTTAAATTTCCACAATTTGAGAGAGTTTTGTATTAACACTTTTTCCTCCTCTATTCTCCTCTCCTCTCTTAACTTATTCCTTCTCTCTCTCTGTAAAATTTTGTTTGAGAATTAATTTTTAAAAGGAAAAAAAGGGAATTAAAAAACTTATTTAATGACTATCTTTGTTTAAAATTTTTTAGATGAAAAGATAATGTTTTATGAACTCTTCAAAGCCATCCTTTCATTCATATTCTTAAGTTCTCCTAATTTGAAATTTTTTTTATTAATTATCTTCCTTCTTGCTTTATCTTTCAAACCTTTTCTTTTTCCTTCATTTCAAACTTCAAACAAAGCTTTAGATACCTTAAATGAGTTGTTTGCAATGTTATTTGGAGAGGAGGCAAAAAAAGAGAATTTTATTTTATTTTAAATAAATATATTTAAAATTAATATTATTTAAAATAAAAAATATAAATTCTTATATTAAAATAAACTTAATGTATTAATCATGCATTTGTTATCATAAATTATATATAATTTTCTTAAATTAAAATTTAAAAATATATTCTCTCTCTTTTCTTTCAAAAACTGTCTTCCAAATATACTCTAATTTGTTGATCCTCAACTTAGCCACACTTGACTTTAGCCTAAATCAATGGCTCAATCGCTCTCACGGTAGATTAGTGATAAATTAAAGAAAATAAAATATAAGAAGAGACTTCAAAAGGTGTCAAATGTAAAAATTATACCCCTATTCCCTTCTCTTAAACCTCAAATGCTTGTAGCATATTCGCTTTACCTCTTTGAAGGCCTTACTTGAGAGTTTGGAAGGAAAAGGAAATGAAAAATTTAAAAAGTATGAAGAAGAGAGGAAGGGAAGAAGAAGGAGGGTTAATATAAAAACCTCCTAAATTGGATAAACTTAAAAAGATGTGATTAGAAAGATTTTAAAATATTTATACACCATCTTCCTCTTATTTAAAAACTCTCAAACAAAAATAACCATCACATAAATCTTCTCCCTTTCTTCCCTTTTCTCTTAAACACTCTTAAACAAAGCTTCAGTCAAGGGTGAAGAGATATACCCAACCATAACACACTTGTCTACAAGTAGAAGAAGCCAAACCCCGTTAGGATAATTCATTCTCACCATACTGTTACTATGCTAAAATACTCTTTTAACTTGAACGTCGGAATGCTTCTTACTAGTACCGGTTGCTGTTTAACCAATATGAACACCACCACTAAGGCCACCGTGAGACCCCATATCAGAATTGTACTATCGCCATATGAGGTTCTACACCAGAGCAGGTATATATGTTATTAATGAATGTGTGAATAGTTATTATAAGCAGTATTATGGGCTTGCCGACTATTGTTTATAAAAAATATGACGGCATAAGATGCAAGTGTCCTTCAGTTTGACAGCCATGGTTTCAATCACATTGGTGTTACTTTGTCAATTTCTCAAACTTTGAATCTTGACATAATTTTCAAACAGTCTTCACTCAAAAAACACAAATAAATATCTGCAACATACACTGTTTTATGAAACAAATCAGGAGAGATGAATCCTATCACTCACAGCAGAGTTTAAAAACGAAAACCACACTAGGACCATTTTCTAGTTGCTAGTTGCTAGTTGCTAATTGCTAATATAGTGAAGCACGTGCAATTAGATGCACTTCCTATTAATGAGGATATCATACTATAACAATGGACATGTAAATCTACAACATTCTGCAGCGATGACTAAGTCGTTAAAAATGCATATGCAAGTCCCACTGACTGGTTTGTCATTCCCAATTTTTAGCATTATGTTCCTTGAATTATGTTCTATCAAAACCACCACCTAGCTGCATATGCAGCCATCCAGGATGTGATCCATGAGCATACCCCCTTGCTGCCTGTGATCCAAATATCATCCCAGCAACGTCAAATGGCTGAGCACCAACCTGAAACAATAGATCAGCTGTTTCAAATCATGATATTATGCGAATAAACAGTCCTCCAGTAACTACGATTCATTAGAAAAATGTAGGTCTAGGTAATTTGGTAAAAATACTATGACACAAGAAAGTATAGTTCCAGTTGACGATATTCATGTGAGTCAAACACTGTTTTCCACTGCAAAATTGCAAATAGAGTTTTAGACGTGTGTGTGTGTGTGTCCATAATTTGGTTTTAGGCTAACTTTTTGTCAACTAAGTCCCTTCCTGGAAGTTTTCAAGAGCAGAACCTCCACATCAGTTTGTTGGATTTAGGGAAGTGACCACAGCTTTCAGCAGTCTGGGTACCATTTTCACGTATTTTGGATCTTCTCAACTAAATAAAATGCAATATTATTTTTATTGCCCGAAGCTCCGTAGTGCATACTTTTAGGGTTTTCAATGTTTTGAACATTAATTTGGATGGCTTAGTGCTATTTTGAATTCCTAGTGATAGTATATAATGACTTATTGGTATTAAAGTGCCAGGCAGAATGAATGTTATGAGTCTCATGATAATAAAGCTTCAAGACATATAACCATCACGAGAACGTGAATTTGAAATCAAGGTACCAGCTTTCATATCATATGCGAGGTCAAACATCTGTAGTTCCCACTACTTTTAACTCATGATCATGCTTGCTATACTGATTTTTATCCCTGTGAGTCATTTAATCACATCTAAAAAATGAATTGAACTCTAAATCTCATGGAAATTATGATGATGTTCCCTCCAAAGGTGTTCAAATCAAATTTTTAATTGAGCTAATTTGGGATTTGCCATTGTGGTTGTGACTCAAATTTTATACGATTTAGATGAAGCAGTTGAAAGTTCAATCTCCTGTCCTCTCCATGAAGGATGACCATTGTTCCATCTAAAATGGATGTTTTCTCCGGTACAAAACTGGGGGCGGGGAGATTATGCGCTAATTATATCCTTCCCTTCCCCAGATAAACATTCAGTTATTAGAGTGTTCGGTAGTTGATCTGGTTTTACCCATTTATGGATTGTAGTGAACCGAGTTCTGGATACCCAGACTTGAATTTGATAATAAATTGAACATCACCAATATTTTCTCTATTTTCTTCACTTCCTCTCTACTTGTTCCATACCAACCTGACTTCAATTGAGCTTTGTCAACTGATAAGAGAGAATGATGCCACAAATGAACCAATATACTTATAGATCACTTTGTTTTATTGGTTCTTTGAAAAACTAAGCCAAGAAGAATAATTTGCTATAAGACAAATCATCTAGATTAAAATAATTCCAGGTAGAGCACCAGGGCAACTTCCCCTACGGTAGTTCAAAAATTGATAGCATCAAGAGCAGACAATGTCACACATAACATTCAAATCTTAATTATATAAGTGGAAACGGATTACATATTAGAAGTCTACGTGATCATCATCAAAGTTGGTAGACTTACATCTTTTGAAGGAAACCCGTCAATAGTATGGCTCATGTTCACTCTTGAATTAACTGCTTCAAGCTTCATTGAAAGGAACTACAAAACCCAATTTGTATGGTACTTAATTCGATTCATTAGTTTAAAAAGAAAACATCATTGAGTGGAAATACTCAATAGAGATAGAAAGATGAAGATATCCACCTCAACCTGACGCTGCAACGACTGTATGTAATTGATTATCTCATCCAAGACAAGCGCTTTACCGATTACCTGAACATAAAAAAAGAAAATGAAAAAGGAAAAAAACAGAATCCATAATCTTGCAATGATCTAACAGAATATTGCATTTACCTTGTTGCACCCCGGGACCAAGTCCTGAAGAATTTTCATCCTCTCACTGATCTTTTCTCTTCTTGCCTGCCAAAAAACAGGCGTCGTTAAATGGCATGCCACTGAACAAATAATACACAAAGAAAAACGTCTAACAGCACACAAAGCTCATAACTTGTAAGAAACAAAAAGTGGGAGAAGTGTTACTCTCTCTGCTAGACTGTGGCTATCGGTAGCTTGACCCCTTCTTGCTCTCACATGAATATAGTCTTGCTTAGGTGGCTCTGAAGGTTTAGTGCTTTGTTCAACTGATTTGATAGCAGCCGTTGAACTAGCTTCTGCCTCAGCTTTCAAACTATCATTTTCAACACTTGACCCTCCTAATTTCATCCGTTTATCGCCAGAATCATTCTGTTAAAATTTGCACTCGTGCCATCAGAACACAGCTTCACAATACTAGTTTTAACAACGCTAGTTCATGAAACGCTAAACAGATTCAAAGCATACCCCCGGAGTTTATCACTGGACAAAACAATTGTAACTCTTTTATGCAAAAAAAACAAAGCATAAATGTAGTATTTAAGTGTTGTTAATATCATTTTATAATTAAATTAAAATTTTTCGTGTAATATCCGTCGCTATTAAAATTGTATCGACTATGAAGTCAAACTCCTATTTTAATTAGTGATATCCTGTACCTAAATTTTGTCCTTGAACAGAAATACAACGTAACGAAATTCCAAACATTCGGGAATTGCAAAACCTACAAAGTATTGGACTCGAATCGACATATACAATCAACCAATCAAAAACAATCCCTTGACGAACGCATCCAATTAAAAGTTTAAGATAATAAAATAATTTCAAAACAAACTTTGGCACATTTTTATTATTATTTTAGTGCACATTGAAGTATAAACCACTAAATTAATTCTTAAAATTAAAATTCTAACCACCATTCAAATTATTTTCAAAATTACAAAAACATCATAATTGAGCCGAAAATTAATTCGACAAATAATGACTTTTGCAATTTCAAGAGTAATCATAATTTCAAATGCTAATTTAGTAATTACATAACAAAAAAAAAGGTACTAATTTAGTAATAATTAAAATTATATTAATAACTCATCGCGTTTACGCCAAAAAAATTGAAAGAGACAGCGAGAGAGTAAAGGCAAACCAAGTCATTAGCAGTGGTGGTAGTGGAGAGAATCTTGGAGCAGTGTTCATCGGAGGAGAGGCGCTTCCTCTTGGAGTGATTTGGTGCGGTGGCGCTGTGGTCGGTGACGGTGGAGTCCTCGGCGGAGGCATCTGGGAGATGGGGAAAGGGAATAGGCATTTGTGGTTCTGCAGAGGAAGAGAATGGCCAAATCTCGGCGAGAGAATAAGCGGGGGAGAATGTGGAATCGTTGATGAGAGGAGGGTCCATTCGGAAACACTATCATTCAATTCCCAAATAGCGAGTCAGCGAGTGAGTCAGTGAGCGAGGTTCGGAATCGTTTATTTAATTGATTAATTGTTGTAATTAGAAGAGGAAGAGTGAATGAACATAGATATGGAGTTGGACACTGTTAATGGATGACCGTGACAGAAAGAGAGAGAAACTAAAACGAGTGAGTGAAGAGCATCCACCATTCACACTGTGACAGTCATCGTTTTTTTTTTTTTTCGGATGGAGTGTGGCGTATTACGCCCACTGCGCTTCTTATATTTTCCGTGGACCTCACCCACCGTAACCGTAATCGTTAAATCGCCAACTACAATTCCATAGGATACTACACGTTTTTCGTTACACGTCAGGGTACTATAATTTTGTTTATAAAATTTAGATAATCGCCTTTTTATTAAGCATAATAATATTATAACACTTTTCGTAATCTTCGGATCCCGATTAAGCTTGCTTCCTATTTTTAATTCGCTTTGTCCTAAATCTAAAACATGTGAATCCTTTGACCTGTTTTCGATTCGTTTCTACATTATTTATGTAATTATAAATAATATTTTTTTATGAGAATTGATGTTATTAATAAATTTATTATATTCATATATTTAAAATAAATTTTAACAATTGATGCTAATAAAATTATAAAACTGTAAGACCTTTCCCATAAGGTTGACCTTCACGTTGTTTTGAGTTTTTTTTTTTTTCTCTTTTATGAATGTTGTGTTGAGCAGATTAACTGTACAATTAGATCTTCAAACAAGAAATGGTGATTAAATAAAAATCTGATTTCTTTGACGTTGTTGAGTATTATAATATAATTATATTAATATATATATATATATATATATATATATAATTCTTATCAAATTTAATTAATCAATGTTATGACCTGAGGAAATTTTTATTTAATAAAAAGTATTTTTTCTATTTTAGCATAAACATACTATATTTCTTAATAATAAAAAATAATTTAAATTTATTAAATAAATTTTATTTAAAATAGAAATTTTTTTATTCAAATTTAAAGAATTTAAATTATTATTCAATATTTTTAGATACATTTTTAAAAATAAGTATATTTTTGTCAAATTTTATAATTTTACATATATTAAATAATAATTTCAATAATCAATATATTTTATCTTTCTAAGAATCAATGTTCAACATAAGTTTTTTTTCTTGAAAAATAAAAACTAATTACATAATAAAAAAAATTATTACCTCTCATAAAGATTTCATATAAAGAATAAGGCGAAGATTTTAAAATTCTAAAAATTGAGTAAGCTCTAAAAATCATCTTAACAAGACCATATGCAATGATATTGAAGATATGTTTTAAGCAAATTACCCAAGACTTTTGTACTAATGTTCAAATGTTTGACACTAACTTTTCATGTATGTTAAAGCTTGCAAGCAAATATGAGTTGAACAATTGAATTGCTTTGAGTGAGTCATATTCACAACAAATCTCCTTAACATCTAGTCTATGTTAACCATAAATCATCATGAATAATGTAACATTCCGAATTTTGTAATGATATTTTTTATATTAATATAAATTGTGGAGTTTTATTTGAATGTGTATTTGATGTATGGAATGATGTGAATATATATGATGACGTGAACATGTACGAATATGTGAATGTTGATTCTGTATTGAGAATGTTTGACTGTGGTTGGTTTAGATTGATTGATAAAATAAGTTAAGTGTGTGTTGCAGGGTGTTCTTGCTATAGCGAGAAAGTCTTGGGCGAGTTTGGTGATTTTGTTGCATTCTCGCTACAGCAAGAGGCTTCTCGAGGTAGCGAGAAGGAGACAAAAGAGTGTGCATTTCTGTGTGTAGTTTCGCTGTAGCGAGAATATCGCGATCAGAAGGGTATTTAAGGGGTTTAGGGTTTAGAAAATTTATTTTTCATTCCTCTCTTTAAAATCTCTTTGATTCTCTCGACTCTTGACCCATTTTCACCGATTAAACTACCTCCAAAACTGTTGGTGAGCAAGATTGAAGGTTGGAATCACGTTTGGAGGTAAGTTTTGATGGCTAGGGTTTCAATTTTCGTCCCTATTCTTTGTTTTCTCGGTTCTCTTTAGTTTCTCATGGAATTCTTCCATATATTTAGGATGAAATCCATGTGAGAAGCGTTTCCATTGTTGAGTTTCATGTTGGGTCTTCATTCCGAGGTAAGGGGGGACTTTACCCTATCTCATTTTGCTTGAAAATCTATTTATTTGCTATATGTTGTAATGTCGTGGAGATAGGACGTAGGAACATGTGTGTTTTGATGGATTTCATCCTGGACATGACGTATTAAGCGTCGGTCGATATTATGTGTGAGAAAATGGTTTGATTGTAATTGGGTTGTAATAGGGACTAAAAGACGATGCTGAGTCGCTCTCAAAACAACTAAGTTTTTTAAAGGTTTTGTAGTATAGAGCCAAACCTAGGTTGATTCATGTAGATATGTTTTCAGTCAAATTCAATTTTAGGTTTTGTTTTAAAGAATGCAAATAAAGTTTTTTGGGGTTTTAAAAATTACAAATTAATTAAATTAAATTACGAACCGAATTAAAGTGAGTAAAAATAAATTAAGAAACATCAATTCATAGAATACCAATTGCATGTAACTCTGACTATCACAGTATCTAAAGTTTTAAATCCTAACTGAATAGAGTTACGAATTAAATCAAATAATCATTTAACCTAATCCATATTAATTATCAAATCAGAGCATCAATCGAGTCCTAATTTAAATTCTAACAATAAAAAAGTTAATTATAATCGCAATACATAATTATGAGATTAGAGAGAAAAGAGAATAAACTCGGAGTGATTTAGTACAGAACTCAAGTCGTAATTACAACGTTTGGATTTCACAGATTGAACGAGAGGTTTAGCCTTCCATCGAAATGCTTATCCCACGCAAGAATGAGAAAAGAATAAGAGAATTCGAGAGAAAGTAAAAGTAAAGATTCTTATTTTAGCCAAGTCTCAAAATCTCAAAGTGTCTAATCACTCCCCCTTAATTCATAAACTTATTAGTTTATTTATAGGTTCTGATTAGGGTAAATTAAGTGGCTAAAATGCGGGCCTCAATAATAACTAAAAACCCAAACCCAATTATTAAATAACAGGGGTCCAAATGCAATCCCACAATAATATTCAACAAATATGCCTTAACTTAAAAAAATCATAAAAAATCAAAAATAACTCCAAATCTAGCAATCCATATATGCATTTTGAAGCCTTGGATGCTTAGAATCCAATGCAACTAGAATCAGCCAAAAATGATATATGTAGAAAAAGTTATGGCCAAAGGAGTAGTTAGAGGTTAGAATAACCAAAAATATGAAATTAAAGCATTTATTTGTAACAAGTCTAATTTATTCATATAATTAGAAAATGATAAAAACTCTAAAAATAAAGCATATGAAAAGTGTTTATTAATCAAAATAAAATTATAAATATAAACTTAAAATATGTTACATCAAATTCTCCCACACTTAAGATTTTGTCCTCCGGGGTAAATCACAAAATCAATCCATAGGGGACCTAAAACAAATTAGGTTATGTACAAAGCCCATCAAGTTCAAATATTATGGCTAGAAAGGAAATCAATCCTCACACTTCAAATTGACAAATGAATTTATCAAATCAAGTGAATGAACCATAAGAGATAGAACATGATATACTCTCAATCACTCAAGTGTATAAGGTAAAGTGTGTCACTCAAAATGCACAACATGAAGCATGATCATCCATAAGCTTTCCAATTTCCTACTTCTCCACTAGAATTCACACATACACACAAAAATCAAGAGGACTTAGCTAGGTTATAAAGGGGCAGGGTGAAGGTGAAAAAATTACAAAGGTAATCAAGCTAAAACCTAATAAGATATAAGAATAATGGGAAATGAATCCAAAGAAAATAAGCATGAAAGTAAATTTCCTAAACAAAGATGTAATACAATTCAAAAACAATCCTCTTTTACTTTTGCTAGCCATTCAATGCTCCTATTGCTTACTTTTTCTTTTTCTTTGTTTCTCCTTTTTTTTTAAGGAGCTGGTTTTTCTTTTCTCTTGCATTTTCTAAGGTAATCTCTCCCACACTTATTTCTATGTCATTCCCAAAACAATTCCAAATTTCTTGTATCCCCTAAGGTTGGGTCATTTTATCATTTTATTGTTTTACACCTTTGGCTTGAAATGAGCTAAGATCACAAGAAATAAGACAATTAGGCTCAAGGAGGCTTAAACAATGGAAATAATGCAAGGTTGGCTTTTTGGTTAGTAGTTTGCGAGAAAGAAATTATGCCTCTATCATGTTAATGCAAGCATATGAAAAATATAGTCTCAAAAAGGCTCAAGGCAAGTTTTAGTGTCATACAACCATGAGTACAATCACACAATGAAGGAAAGTAAAATGACATGATATTGTCATCTATATGGCTCAAAACCTCATAAGGTATATATTCTATCACAAATAATCAAACACACAAGATATCAAAGTTCACTTATCAAATCAAAACACACCAAAAATATAGTACTCACCCTCACTTGAAATTAACATTATCCTCAATGGAAAACTCAATAAGCATAAGGACAATTCAAACAATCTAATAAGTGAGAAAAAGGTAAGAAAACTTCCTATAAATCCGGGTAGGTGGCCAAATCAAAAGTGGCCTCCTCTTATTCATGTTTCTCCAAGCCCTCATGAAAAATCTTGAGCCAATGCCAATTAACCATGAAGCTTCTTTATGATCCCATATCCAATGTAGAATTCTTTACGCCCTATTAGCTTATCATGAAAAACTTTGGTGCACTCTTTGTAGATATTGGAGTTCTCATATGTTTCTCTACAAAACTCCTCCAACTCTTGTAATTAAAGCTTCTTGTGCGAGCCAGCTGCCTCTATATCTAGGTTACATTGTTTGATCACTCAAAATGCCTTATGTTCCATTTCTACTAGTAGATGACATGTCTTCCCAAAAATAACCCGATAAAGAGACATTCTTATGGGTGTTTTGTAGGTGATTCTGTAAGCCCATAGAGCTTCCTCCAAGCGTAGATTCCAATCCTTTCTGTTGGGTTGGACAGTTTTCTTCAGAATTTGCTTTATTTTCCGATTGAAAATCTTCGTTTGTCCGTTAGTCTGAGGGTGGTATGGTATGGAAACTTTATGCATAATCCCAAACTTTTGAAGTAAAGCAGTCATTGTGTGATTGTAAAAGTGTGA